GCTTGAGATTTGTGTAACTTGGTTCAAGTCTGTGCTCTTTGTAATGCAGTGAGCCCTGGAGTGATAGATTGTGCTGTGAATCAGCCATGCTATAGGCTCGTGCCAGAATCTCCAAGCTACATACCAACCTTTCCAAATCCATCCAGTACCAGAAATCATATTTTTTTCTTGCTACCCCAGTTTCTTGTTTTTTGGAAGGCAGAATGTAGAAAAAAAAAGATTTTTTCCAGAGTCATGGCTAGAGTTGGGTTTTTCATGAAGACACTGTGCTAAAAGGTGACTGCCAGCTTCTCTGCCCCTTCCAGGAAGCAAGAAGGAGCACAGTTCAGTGTTAACCCTTTCACAGCTGCTCTTGAATTGGCACAAGTTTTTGGCAATTTTTATTCCATAGCATGGGTATGGCGGATACATAGTAATGTGGTAAGTGCCACATGCCCTCATTATGGGATAAAACTTGGCAAAAGCGGGTCTGAACTTGAAAGTAGCTGTGAAAATGTTAACACTGGATGGCAAACCATTCTGCTTTCTGGCAGGTACAGAGAAGCTGACAGTCATCTTGTAGCAAAAGGTCTTTATCTTTCTGTGCCCATATGCAGTGAAGTTCTGGCCAAAAAAATCAGCTTACTCATTTTAGTTATGCACCTCAGTTGAACAGCTGTATTTTTTGGGGGGAAAGGTACATGAAGTATGTAAGTAAATACAGTACTTAGACACATTTTTGTTTTTTGGCAAAAAAAAAAGCAAAACCAAATTGCAACACCTTAAAAGTGCTTGGAAATAAAGTCTCATCTTCCCATCATCCCTAATCACATGACTGCCTCAGAACCTGCGCATGGGTCAGGATCCAGATTAGCTTCTGCAGGGGTGGCAAAGTCTGGCCCATGGGCTGGATCAGGCCCACAACGTTGTCTGGCCCATTTCCTAGCAGCAGCTCCTTCTGGCTCCCACCGCCCACTGCACCCACTACCAGAGGTGGAACCCACATGGGCAGGGCACATGGCTGGGTGGCTGAGATAGGGCCATGGCCAGCAGTAAGACGGGGGCGTGGGGCCATAAAGATGCCAGGATCTTAGGACAGTGATAACATGGGGTGGGCGCTGGGACAGAGCCACGATCTCCTGCCACAGGCAAGGGCAGCGAATCGCAGCTCTGCCCCAGCTCCAGCCCCATGCTGCCACCACTGCAAGATCCTGGACCCTGCCTTGGGCACAGTTCCCCTCCTAGCTGTGCAGCCTGCCTGAACTACTCCTGGCCCATGGAGATCCTGGGAGCACAGGACCATGACAGCATGGAGCCGAGACCAAATCCAGGGCTGAGGCAGAGCCCTATGCAGTCACAGGCCCACCACTCCTGGGGTCTCCAAGAAGACTGGCCAGGAGCCGCACGAGCAGGGGTTCCTGGGAAATGGAGTCCAGCTGCCGACCAGGGATCTACCATTTTGCCCACTTCTGTAAGGTCTTGATTTCAGTAATCAAGCCACCATCTAAATATCTTCATTTATCTGGGACTTAGTGTCTCATGCAACAGAAGATGTGGATAGATCCAGGATAAGACCTTTGGTTGGTGAAGTGAAGGTTATGTCTATCTCTCTTGCTACACAGGTCAAGGCTTAATACATTCCCTAAATTCAAGTCAACTTGAATGGTTTTTCTCTTTATTCAGAGTGCGCTGTTAAGAATTAGTTATGGTAGAGGTTATTTTATAGTAATACATGCAAAAGCTTTTATATCTCCTTTCATATACAACATTATGGGATAAGTGTAACATTTGCCTTTGTTCATAAAGACAGAAGTTTATGCGGAAAGATTTGCAGTTTGCCTTCATTTTCACATTTTCTGTTCTTTTTCTGACCAAAAACTGGTACGTTAGGTGTAGCTGGAAGGACATTATGAGGTTTCATAGGGTATTTCATTTCTGAGTTTACCTTACTAGATCCCACCAGCTCTATTGAATCTAAATATTGCAATCACAGCCTCCAAAAATCCAGCCCATGAATCTTTGGGTTGGATTTCTTTGTTCTTTTCATCTGTTCAAGTTGTTCTTTTTAAATTACTATTAAGTCAGTTAACTAAAACCCTATCAATTACTTGTTCCTAGCTGCAATTTGATTCTGAGATTTTTTTCCCCCTTCAGATCTGCTCCAAACTTTTTTTCTTGAAGTAAATAGAAAAATTCAGGAGAATTCCATTTCTCTTGAGTTGCAGAGAAAGAACTATATCGTACCCAATATAAAACAATCCCAGAAGAACATTTCTGTGTTCAGACCATGATATTCATCATCCTGAGAGAAGTCTATCTTCCTCTGTATTCCAAGATGATGAGCTTTGGGGAGTTAAAGCTGAATTTTCCATTGTCTCAAACCATATGTATGGTCATTTTCGTAAGTGTAAAGTACGTGTAAAACATGCCCATATCAGAATGGTAGTGCTTTGCTGTGATATAAGTGGCTGCACAAGGGGCAGGACAAAAGACAAGCAGGCCCATGTTTTACGGAGAAAGAAGCACCACAATTTCCAGAACTATGAGGATAAACAAAAAAACATATTCTCCTTTCCCCAAGACCTTTTCAGTGTTCATCGAAATAAACTCAAATGGGCTATGGTGATTTCTAGAGCAGAACAATGACAGTTTAATCTTTACTATTTTGAAAAGATGCTGTTTGTAAGCCCCAGACATCCACACCTCAGTAGTGGTAGCTGTCAGTGCAGGGGTGTTACAGAATAGACTTTATCTTCCCTTGGTCACAACTTTACCTTGTCATTATCTACTGTCTCTAACTGTACAAGGATATACAGAAATATGCTGTATGTATTCTGGAATCTCAAAAAAACATGTAAGATAAACCAGCCTCTCTGGGCCTATGAACTTAATACTGACATGACTCTTTTATGCATCCTGTTCAAGATAAAGCTACGTTCAAATGAGTAGTTCCCCTTCTGTTGTGTATATTTTAAAAACATAATTGTAATATGTTTTCTACCTTGAATCTATGGGAATGTGTTTTCTGACTTGGTAGGCTTTGATCAGTTAGCCTTTTTAATTAAAATGTTTGAAAGAGTACTGAAAGCTGTTTGACTCTCACTTTTCCTCCCACCCTCACACATGTAATTACAAAATAACCCATTTTTAAATAACTGACCATTGCCAACCTGAGCCAGAGGGCAGCATTTACCACATTATGATACAATGAAACTTACACTGCTGATGCATCTCAGCTGCATTTCAACTCCCCTTTCCCTGCACCGGTAAATGTGTTAGAAAATGAGTCACTCTCAGGACTGCCTAATACAGAAGCATTATTAAGAGTGATTAAGTAAATAAAATGCCATTGCTGCTGCTGTTCAGTTGGAAACAAATTTCAGTTCCAGCTGCAAATATTCTCCTCGTTTACCTGAAACACTCAGCGTTTATTTTTTAAAACTACACTGCATACTCAGGAATAAGAATAAGGATCACAAAGCACTTTGGAGAGGAAGTGCTCCATTTTACCTATCTCAGAGCAGAGACTGAGGAAAATTAAATCTCTTAGTCAAGGCCACAAGCACTTATCTGCACAGTGGTGGTGGTAAGTGCAGCCTGGGTACACTTGAGAAAACCTTATCACTTGTGCCTACAAATATGCTTCAGACCCAGAAGATGGTCAGTCTGACTGCCCTGGTCTCATTCCCAGCTAATAGTAGCTACTGAAGATGTGTTCAGAGTGGGTCTACCAGCATACTTACAGGCATCCTAAGGGTGGGCAAAGCATGGGCAGAGCATGCTTGAGGGTAGTGAGATTTCTAACCATCACTGCCATGGTATATAGACAACCCAGGGTAAATTGGTGGCAGAACGGAGATATTTCAAGTGTTGTCTCTTTGACGTCTGTGCCTTGTCTACCGGGCTGCACTTATTACTCTGGATGTGAGTTTCCTGAAAGAAAGCTGGTTCGCTATTCCCTGTTATTCTTTCTTTCTGGAAGATATTTAACTTAATAGGTCTCCAGTTTTGCACCACTTCGTAGCAAACACTACGTTCTCAGGTTTGTTTGGTTGAGAATGTTTTGGATGTCCTGTTGCTAGTGACACGTTTCTGTTTTTCCCCCTAACTTGACTTTTTCTATTCAAAAAATGCTTTTGAGCAGATCGTGTATGCTTAAACCGTTGTTTGAAAATATTTCTTTGCTGCCAAGTGGAAACTGCTTAAAGGTGAACATAGCAGTAGATGGTGGAGAGTTTGACAGCACCAGAGAGTTTTTAATCCAACCAATAGCTAAACTCATGTCAAATGTACCTGCAGCTAGCCATTGGTCAACGTGTTTGAAATATAAATGACACCAAAAATGTATTTCAGAAAATGTAACCAACCAACCAGAGGCATGAAATGAGAGGCCAGAATCTTGCCTTAGCACACTGAAAGTCTGCTCCAATCAGAGGAGCAAATGCCACTTCAGGAATAAGAAATGAAAGAAAGCCAAGACTTACAGACCATAACAATGGATCTCTGGAAGGACCAGATGGCTGAACAATTCCCCCCAGCATCTTCCTTCAAGCTCCAGAGACAGCAACCTTCCTTCAAGATGAGGAAAAATAATTTATTTTTTATGCATAGTTACTTTGCAGTGGCTAACTATAATTTTCCCGATCAATCCAAGCAGGTGGCAGCAATAGGCTCTACAACTAACTAATTACAGATGATTGCAAATTGATTTTTTTTTTATTAACCCCCTCCTTCTGCCAGGTGGGGTTACACGGCTCTCCACCTGCTCTCAGCCACCCACTCCGCTTCTGGAATCGCTCAGCCATCTTCTTCTCCTTTTTTCTCTACACGGCCATTCTGGCATTCCTCAGGGTTCACTAGCCAAGGAAGTGAAGTCCCCCACATCTTTCCCTCTGTCAGATAAATATAAATTGAGCTCTGGCTGGGGATGTGATTGAGCTTAGCTTGTGTATTTTAAACCTTGTTAATGTTCCTTTGTTTGCACTTAAAATATACTAATAAACTCATTTTGTTTTCTTCAGGTGGCAAAATGCAGCTCCTGAAACATCTCCCCGCCTAGGCCAGAGGACTATGGGGTTTCATCTTGAGTAAGTGACTGATAAAATATTCTAAGTCATATTATGGAGCCTTCTTTTTGCTTTCTTGCTCCTTCCTTGTATTCACTCTTCAAAGTTTCTCTTGCCAAATAGGGACGGGCCTGGCATTCTGTAGACTCCATCAGTGTCATTTCTTTATTAGCTGGAGCTCAATTATTTCTTTCTTTTTCAACTTACTGCAGTTCTTCCCCTTCAACCTAGCTTAGCTACTATAGGCTCCCCGACTCAGATCTCCATACTGCGATGTGACATGCTACCATTAAGCATTTAGATGGAATCAAGGAGACAATACACAACATTGTACCCTTTACAAAAGAGCCACAAAGAAAAATAAAGTCCAAGTGCTATGCCAGCTGGAAAGAAGTATGCCAATACCAGGTGGTGTGAAGAGGAAGTGTGAGGTGACTGCTGGCACCACTTTTACAGCAAGGGTAGCAATTAAAAATATGCTGCTTTTGAGAGGAGACCAGTGGGGTTTGGCATCTGGAATCAAAGGGCTGAAAAGGGTGTCATGTAGGACTGAAAAGCTTTGCAGGGCTTCCTAATGAACCATTCCCTTCCTTCCAGTCTGACCTGGATGATCCAGCTTAGCTGGCTACTGTGCTTTATTCTCCAGGACTTGCCAACTAGTTATCTTTCTGCTTACGTTATTTTTTCGATACTTACCTTTTTTTGGCACATGAGATTACCCAATTCCTATTAAGATTCTCTTTGTTGCTTTATTTGAAAGTCTCTCTCCACCAGTCCTTCAGGTTTTTCACCAGCAGTCTAATTCGATGACCTTATTTCTAATACTATGTCTCTAACTTTATCCATGTGCACTCATCGCATGTGTAGATGTGCCCAGGGAGGGTACAAGGCTAATTTGTGGCATTTCTGTCAAAAAAGGTTGGCCTCCCCTAGTTTGGGAAGTTAAGGTACTGAACTTTTTACTTGTAGTTCACTGTCTCAAATCCAGCTAAAACAGTAGAGGCATGTCTGATAGCAATTCAGCACAGGTTTGGTGTTGAAATATGAACCACCAACAACATTAGTACCTTTCCTGGGTTGCTAGAGGTTTAAAACATTAAGATTTGATTTTGTTTTATTTTTATCCACAAGCCCAAAATTCTTTAACATACTGCTTTAAAAAAAGAAAAAGTAGCTTCTATGTTTAGAGGTTTGTTTCTTGGGTTGGGGGGGGGGGTTAACAAATTGCATTAATAATAGAAAAAGAAATGTTTTGTTGTTGCTACCCTGATCATGATTATCAAAAAATGCCTCCTCCCCACCCAAAATGTTCTGAAGAGTTTACATGTTCATTTTAGGTATGATGTAACAGGACAATAAGGAGTGGGCTGTTTTTGAAAGGGGAGAGAATTCAGGCTTCAATTGTATTTGTAACAATGTGATTTACTGTCTCTTTTCTAAATAGAGTGTATGCAAGCATGTTGCACTTGTTATGGTGTTTGAGACATCACACTTAATGCTAATGGTATTTCTGCTGGCCAGAATGAAAAAATCGTTCCACAGACTAGCTTTCCCCCTAACTTCCCACTCCCTCCTAACATTCTTTGTCTGTTCTGATGGTCCATGGAGAGTCATATACAATTATGCTTTGCTAGTAAAACAAGATACAATAATATAATCCAATAGCACTGTCACTGAGATAAAGCATATGATAACTTATTATTTTATTTGATCAGCAGGGTGGCTTAGTACAGTGAGTTCCTTCTCCTGCTTTGATTTGGCTTTTCTGGTTCCTGAAAGACACAACAAAGTAAAACATGGGAACTATTGCTATTCACCTTTTGAACAAATATTACAACAGTAATGTCAGATGAGAGAAAGGATAGAGATTTTATGCACCACGTTACACAGCTGTAATTCCACATAACTGTAATTGTACACTGGAACCTTAGCCCATTGAGAGATTATATAGAAATAGACATAGTTGCACAGTTTAATAGAATACATTCAAATATCTGCCATCTTCCCCTAGTGCAATCATTGCTCTGGACATTGCCATTTTTATTATTTGCAATTCGGAAGTATCAGGGATCAACGTCCCATTGATCTTGCCACTCTACTTTCACATACTGAGCCTTCCTGCTCAAAATAGAGTTAAATATTCTGGCTCGATTTCATCTTCTGGGGTCTTACCAAGGAGCACAGGTACATTCAAGACATTTTCATGAGAAACAGGGAAAAAGTACCTGGTTCCCTATGGTAACCTCCTTCCAAGGAGACATTAATGCTGTGCCACGTTGTCAGAATAATCAGAGTGTTCTTCGGGAAGAAATTATGGACATTTCCAGTCTTGTCTGTGTATCCTGACTCTGCCACCAGAAGTTTTGGTGGCAGATGGTGGCTATCATCATGCAGTCGCATGCATATATCCATGTGCTTCTGGCAGCTCCATGTGGTTCCACTGTAGCAGCTATGCCACCAGAGTGTGAAATGTACTCTGGGAAGGCACCAGCTGCTGGATTGCAGCAGAAGCCTCACTTCACTCAGCATAAGTGATGTGATTCTGCTACTGGGGAGGAAATTTTTTTGAGTGTTCTCAAAGTTCTCCCCACACCACTTAAGCGCTGCCTTTTAAAACTTGGTAGCGTAGACTGAATGTGTACATATTTGTCCAGTGCTATTGCTTCCTTCCTTGTCTGAAGCAAAGGGAAAGCAAACAGAGATCTCCCCTGTGCCTTACTTTATCTCCTTGTGTGAACACATGCTCTGGTACCTGGGGTTTAACACAGGCCAATGTATACAGTTTTTGAGGAAGCCCCTTGTTACAATATTCTCAAGCACTTTGCTTGGTAATAGGGAATTAAGTGAGAGAACAGATCCGGTTCTCAATGCACTCTTTCCCAGAGGTGCTATGAAAGGAATAATGTGAATTTCACAGGTAGGAATGCATTCAGCCACCTATTTCTGACACCCAAAAGGCAAAATATGACACAAAGCATGTGTAGGCCCCTTTGGAGCTATGCATAGGAAAAAATTAATGCTAACTGAGCAATCCACACTAGGGCCCTTTGAATATTCATTACCAATTCAAAGGCAGCGTCTTGTATTTGCTGGTGGATATCATAGGACTGGGATCACTCACAGAACTCTCTTCACACATTGTAGTGGTATCCTTCAAAACTTTTACAATACCAGCTCCTTCCCCTCCCCATCTCTCTTTCCACCCTTGAGTAAGCAATGCTGGATGGGCTGCCTTTTTGAAGCCTTTAAAGATCAGCCTAACCACTGTTCTTTAGGGGGATCTCTTTGCCCTTCTGCAACCACTGAGAGGCTGCAAAAGCTCTACTCCTGTGCCTATATTAGATGTAAATTGTACAGATGCAGATGAAGGAGAAGAATCTCTATTTGTCACTGAATGCAGTCTGAACACCACTGCTTCATTTATAGCAATGCCACCCAGGTATCTGCACTTAAAAGGAACAACAAAGAGGTGTCAGAACAATCATGAGGCTGAACAATTTAAACTGCAGTGAAGACATTTGGTGGCATGTGAGAAATGATGCTGGCAAGAGGCCTGTTTTGGTTTTTGGATTTTTTACTATATGGAAAGCTGTTCTAACTCTCCTTGTTTTGTGCTACTGAATGCTTCGTTTGCCTTCAAAGCCTCAGGGGGTAAGGAGGGAGGAAAACAAGTTAAGTAAAAACCATAATGACTAGTTAAAACTACACAAGGTGTGTCAGGGCTCTATTGGCCTTTAAATAACGTCTTTGATATACAGGAATCTAAAAAAAGTCACAAGGATACCACCAAAAATTGGTTGACTTACTAATAAGCCACCAGTGCTGCCACCAAGCTCTAATGCACAGCAACGGGGTAAACAGTATGTTTCATGCCTAACCTTAGGCGCAGGACAAAAGGTAATTAGGCCAGATTCTCAGCTGATGTAAATCCCCCAAGAGTTTTAACTGTGTTTGTCAGATGATGGGCCAACTCCTTCTTGTTTTGTTCTCTTTGGTTTGTTGTGCTGGCATAGGTGAGAGATTACAAAAAACCCCCTCAGAAGCCTATCTGTAAATCAACAGAGAGTTACTGATTAACAAAGAATACTAGCCTTGTGTTTAGCGTCCTGTTTAAAAGCACAATAAGCTGTGATTGTGAGTATGATTATCTGTGAGAGGTGCTACTCAGCAGCTGCAAATGTGAAAGCTATGTATATCTAGGAGAAACAAGGAAATAGATGCATTTATGACTGTTGTACCACAATGCAACTGCTAAAAGTAAGTGTCCTAATCCTGCTGAATAAAACTGAATAGCCCTAAAAAGGAAAGCAATATATACTGTTAAAAAGCAATATATGAAGAGTGTTTGCACGTATCTATACCACAGAAAAAGATTGAGGAGTTATGGCTCCTTGAACTTACAAGGAAAGCATGGTCTCGTGACTAGAGTATAGGAATTGGTGTTCTCAGATGTCATTTCCAGGCTAGCTCTTTCAGACTTCTCTGGTGATCTTCAGCATGTCACTTAATCATATTTTTATTTGTATTACTTCAGAGGCTACAACTGAGACCAGTTCCTTAATGTGCGAATACTGTACAAGCACCAGATAGGTCCCTTCCATGGACATACTGCTTTCTAAATCGACAAGTAGAAGGCAGGGCAGGATAGCATGTTAAGGACTACCTGGTTCACAAAATTTTTTAAACTTTTATAAGTGGAAGCCTACTTTGTCAGATGCTATGAATGAACTTGCAGACAGTAGGACTATGAAATAGAAAGGAATAAAGTATTTTAATTATAAAGGAAACAGAAAGGGGGAGAAAAGGGTAAGGGGAGGGGCACTGCTGAGAGAGGCAAACGAAGATATCAAAAAGGGATAGACAAAGCAGTTCGCCCACTGAGGGACATAAGGGTTATAAAAGCTAGTCCAGGTAATGGGATATAAATCTAGAGTCTCTGCTGAGGCCACATTTTACACAGTCCACTCTTTGATCAGGGGAAGACACAAAGGACGTGCAGTGGAGTGGTCAAATCTCCCTTT